ATCGACCTTTCTCAAGGCAGTTGGTGTTAAACCTAATCCTAGAGGTTTCAAAGCTGTTGAACCAACATGTGAAGAGTTCCAGACGTTTCTAAACTACATTGGCTATACACAAGACTACAAGGCCAAGGATTTTAAGAAAACTATTGTTTCAAGGCTCTGGACTATTCTTATGCATCTCATCATTTGTGGGTTATCTGGAAAGCACGAAGGTACTGATACATTGAGCAAAGATTGGCTGAATTTGGTCTTCAGTATCTACTCTGGATGCGAGAATGCTGTAGATCTTCCTGAAGTATTATGGCAAGATTACTACAAGTTTTCCACAAAGAGGAAGCCAAACGAAATTTCGAGCCATAGATTCTGGGCCCTGACTCTACAACAACTGTTCACAAAACTTTCAGAACCACTTCCGGTTAGCACATTCGGAGGTATGTATCTATTTCAAAATCGTTAAGACATATAGGATTCAAAACCAATCATCTTTTGGTCCGGTTAGACGACTTCTGGACCATATGTTGGCCATCATTCCTTCCGACTCTCCTTATCTAAAACAACATCTAGAGACTTTGGTTGTGTTCGACCCAACACAACCTGACCCCGTCTTTGTTGAACCCACTTCAGAAGAGGCTGACCCTACTAGGTCCGGACCTAAACTTAAGAAATCAGTTAAGCGAAAGGCTTCTCCCTCAAAACCTAAAGCCAAAAAGAAAACAAAGTCAATGCCCCCTCTTAACAGCTTGGCACTCATGATATTCCAGCTGATTCTGGCTATCTACATACCCTACCTACCCACTCATCTGAGGTACCCCTCAATGTTTCAACATCACAAGCACACACTCACGGGGAGTCTCCACACAATCCACCCTCACCCTCCCAAAAGGGTGATACCGGTGTTGACCATAGTTCCCTGCAGCTCCCTGGAACACAATCACATGTCAAATTTGATATTCCCATTATCTCCGCTACACATACACACTGGAACCATTGTTCCAGATCCCATGCATCTGGAAGGAGGAGCAGTCCCTCCAACTTCTGATTCTTCAACTGGTCTGATACCCGGAAGGAGTAAAGGATGACCAGGAGCTATTGATCCCGATTGGAAAGATTATGTTAACAAGGCAGCATCTCAGCGTCAAGACCTAACTAGAGCTCACACAACTAGAAAAACAGCCTTTTACGATGCTCATTGCGCGTCGTAAAGGGCTCAGACGACGCGCAAATGCGCGTCAAGGAAGGCTCTGTCATAAAGAGAGACGACACGCTTTTGCGCGTCGTCTATAGACGACGCGCATTTACGACGCTCATTTACGACGCGCAATTACGACGTGCATTTACGACACACAATGCGTATCAAGAAAGGCCCTATCATAAAGGAAGACGACACACATTCGGGTGTCGTAACCTTACGACGTGCGTGTTAATGACACGCAATGCGTATCAAGAAAGCCCCTGTCAAGAAAGGCCATGTCATAAATGAAGATGACACACATTTTTGCGTATCATAATTTTAAATGTTTAAAAAAAATATTATGTATAGATTTACTAATTTTCAAGTTAAATTTGTATTTAATGTCTCATAATAGAAAAAAAATATCATATACAAAAAATACAATCCGTTGCATAAAATTTAATGTCATACAAATAATCATATACAAAAAATACAATCCATTGCATAAAATACAATCCCTAACTATCTAACCTATTATTACATTGCTATTAAGGGACACCTTGTTTCACATATCATGTAAAAAACAAATCCTCTATATCAAAAAATTGGTTGTTGTCCATCGAGTGTAGATGACAAATAATGACTTGAACATTAGCTGAAACCAAAAAACTTTTATTAACACAATCAAAAAGCTGAAACCAAAAAGCTTTTAATTACACATGAAACAACACATCATCATGAGAAACTACTAACCTACCTTGAATGGAGGAAGTTGTTTTCTCCAGCCAACTTTGTTGGTGTGGACTAATAAAAGTTATAGCATGTCCTAGCAAGCTGCAAATAATACATATCAAAATTTTAGCAACTAAAAAAGCAACAAAAATAACACACCTCTTCAGCTAGATTCAGGAACTTTCATTGATGTCTCCCACATGTCTCTGTTTTAATAACTCATTAGTTGTTTTATATATACAGCTACAGTTGTAATTTTATCTAGAATTAAAATTACCAATTCACTAATAAAGGCTTCACAGTTGCAGCTTTGTTTCCTTGTATCCACACTTTAAGTAGATACTCATAGAAGCTGCACAAAGTCACGAAGATATGACCTTTTGTCAAAACGCCATTCCCCAATCTTCCCATAAGTTAACTCTCCCTGTAGTGTTGTAGTAAAAAGAAATTAGCTTATTTAAAGAGGACATGATTTTATCTAGTAAGGGAGTGTTTGGAATTTGCTTATTTAAAGTGTTAGCTCATTGCCGTTGGTACTGCTAATAAGTTACTTTGAGTGTTTAGATTGTACAAAATGGTTTATGCTTATTGTGGTTTAGGCACTGTTTCATGTGTAAAAACTGACTTGTTTTTTTGAGCTTTTTGCAACGTGGTGTTTTGTGACTAGTTTTTTGAAGAAAAAAAGTATACTATAAATAAGTTACTCAGAACCTTCTCAAATAATGGAGTAATAGTGCAATTGGTATTCAAGCTAGAAGAAGATATAGTTAAGAAAAAAAAATTGTTTTTCTTTCACATATACTATAAATATAATAATGGAAGATGAGAAACGAGTATAAGAATATAAGGATACTCCCCAGATATTTGGAACAATTCTTCAGGGAACCTTTCTTTCAACCAAATTCAAACTTGTCAAACTCATAAAGGGAATTTTCTTTCCAGTTCTTCAGGAAACCCTAAAAGAAACCTCACAGCATCTGAGTTTATAGCAAGAAACTTTGCCTTATGAAGTTGTTTGAAATCCTTGATCACCAATTCGACAAGCTCTGGTTGCTTCTGATATGGGTATGACTCCCTAATTGGATAGCCTATAATGAATCAAGATCTGTGGCTGATAATGAAAAGCAGGCCATACCATAGTAAGTGAAAGACGATAGATTTGGTGCTGAGAGTATAAAATCAGAATTGTGATCACTACTAGAATAACAAAAACTAGTAATAACACCCAAAACCATGCAATTGAATGTTGTTTCTGGATGAGAGTCTTAATAAACTCCATAACAACTCCACCAACCTGTAAGCTCAGCTAGCAGGTTTGCATAGAAATATCCAGAACAAACACCACCAAGGATTTAAAATCAATATCTCTACAATTAACTGATTTAAAGACTATGTACATACATACATACCAAAAGAAGTTGGAAAAATACGGTTACAGATGGAGTTCCACTAATTTTCTCCAATTGGGAACGACATGTGAAAATCAACACTTAGCCCAATTTTGATTCCTCATGCAACATCAACAATAAAATATTTATTAAATAATGTTTATCATTATTTAACAAATAAATAAGGCCCACAACATGAACATATTTAAGAAATATATACATACCATTTAGATAAGCCATAAGGCTGTCCAGTTATATTCTCAGATGAGTCTTTTGTACTTGACTGCACATGAGTTTGTACTAAGTGATTATAAACTATTTAAAATAATAAATAGTGCGATAACAAAAATATATAATGTTATAAAATTTAACATTTTCTGTAAATTTTGAGATTGAGGTTGAGGTTGATTTTTGATCTTTTTGTGTAGTAGGATAAATACACATTTACATGTGAAAAATATTAGTAATGCAACCAATAATGTGAGTGTAATGGCTTCGATTAAAATCGCTAACATAAAAGTTGTACATTATGTAATGAAATAATTATCAGTTAAATAATTATCTATGGAATCAATCACAATAGAATGGAATAGATCATTACATTCCATTATCATGTTTGGTTGGCTAGAGGAAATGGAATGAATTTCATCACTCAAAAAAAAGTGTTTACAGAAATAACTTAATAAGATACATAATAAAATCTTTAAATAAAACTACTATCAGAAAAATATTTTTACTTACTTTTAGAAAAATACCAAAAAATAATTTAATTGAAGTTTTGAAACTTTTTAAATATATTATTGTTATTGATGATTATATGGATGAAAGTAATTGATAATTATAACAAAATCATTCCATTTCATCAAAGAGTGAGTGAACACAAAAAAAAAAACACCCTTCCCCATTGGACAAAGGAATCGGAATGGTCAATTCCATTCCATGTTCGATTAGTAGCAAAAAGCAGCATAAAGATGTCACTTAAAGTGAGCAACCATCAGATCGACATGCATCTTTCTTATCAAGTTAATGGTGGCCTCAGAGATAAGAGGCACTGACATCATCTCTTCACAATCTTCTGGATAACATCCATACCACCCCATATCATTAACACTCACCATAAGCACCCCACCTTCCTCATCCCCTTGTATTTTATTATTATTTGTACTTACAGACATTTAGTTAGATTTTACCGAGTTAAAACAATGTTATAATAAGACAAAAGTTGAAAGTACAATGGTATAATTGGGTAGATTTTTAAAGTAAAATGCATTACTTTGAAGTAGGGTGTTGCAATATAAAGGAATGAAAACAAGTAAATAAAAGTATCTTGCAATTTCTTTAAAAAAAAATAGGAACTCACATGATAAAGTATTTGTTGGAGGAGAGTGTTGCAATCTTCAATTGTTCCCTGGAATCTAATGGCTTTTGATTTGAGAGAAAAACATCTTGAGATTTCAATAAATGTAAGAAAGGGTTGCCACTGATTGCTATTGCTATTCTTTAACATTAATTCAGTTGTGCTTGTAAGCTCAGCTGGCAGGTTTGCTAAGAAATACCCTGAACTAACTTCCACTGGAAAACATCACACGGAAGTGACTATTATTTCCTACAATAAGAAAAAAATGGCTATAACCTAGTAGATTTATCAAAGTACAATCTCTTAATAAGAAAAAATAAATGAAAAGTGCAGTGTTAACCTATACAACATTCAGTTAATACAAGTTCTGGAAATGCAACGTCATCATATGGCTATAACCAGGTGTATTTGTATTCTTAGCAAAACGCAACAAGGCTGTTGTACATTCTTTAACCTATACAACATTCAGTTAATACAAGGTCTGGAAATGCCACATCATCATATGTATAACAAAATGGATGTTTTTCGAGGTTAATGAAATAGAAAAAGCTTTACCTGGTAGATACCTCCAGCACTTCCAGTTACTCCCGTTAGCTAAACATTTTGGATTGAATCTATGATTAGGGCACGTGGAGAGAGAGCTTGAGCTTTTCCCAAAATGTCTTTAAAAATAGCTCACACAAAGCAAAGTAAAACACTATTTATATTTATAATTTATAATTTATAATAAGTAATATCATATGCTCATAATTTATTAAGTTATGTATATTTTGGAGCATTCACCTCAATGTCTGTACTTGAATACAAGAACAATTCTTCTATGTCGATTTCCATACGATCTGCTCTGTTTCCAATTTGCTCAACACTCTAAATTAAAAGGGTCATTAATTGAAACTATATCGATTTTACTGTGTTATAACTTAGAAATGGAGTAACATTAATGGTGAAAGTAAGTTGTTACCTCTTCTCCAGAGACATAAAGCACAGGAGCTGGTTTACCGATTTCTCTCCCTTCTGCTATAATGGTTGCGATCTTTCATATTTCAGCATCAAGTAAACCAGAGTTATATTCTTGATGAAGAAATCATTAACAACAAGATACTATAAGTTTATGCGAAAAGTAAAGATTATGATTTGTAATACCGGTAACATTAGCGTCCTCTTCCCGACACATGGATCACCACTAATCAAAATCAAAGAACCAGGTACCAGACCACCACCAAGAACCCTAGAAACTTTGTGCCCAAATAGTCCAGGCCTGAATATAAATAACTCATATAATGCAGCTCAAAAAAACAAACAAAACGTTAACAAAAATCAAACTTACCCCAAAAATTGGGTTTTTTTATTGAAAGATAAAGATGATTCGAATGAAATTAAAAAAATCGAGGAAATCCCAGTAATATGCAACTCAAAAAATTAAGAACCCTAACCTTAAACTCTTACCAAACGAGTTCAGGATGCCGGCGATGGGAAGGAAGAAAAGGACGTTGGCAAGGAGAAAGAAGGTCTAACGCCGACGAGGGTGGAGGAAGCAGTGGTGACGGCAGCAAGGAGAAGGAAGACCGACCGCAGCGATGGGAGGGGAGACAGTTATGTCTTTGACCAGAGTATCTGAAGAGCTTGTATCTTCGTGGCAAATAAAGCGATTAACAAGCAAAATTCCAGGAAACATACGAATATCGAGCAAGAACAAACTCGATAATCAAGTAAAAACAAAAGGTCTCACTAATTGGGAAAGAGATAAATCTTGAAGCTCTTACCATATGAAGATATAGAAAAGATGATTGAAGGAGGTCGATTTTGCAGAGTTATAGGATCACTTGTGGTAGCGAGGCAATGAATCAATGAAACAAGCCCTTACAAATCCAGAACTGAGCAACATGTGGTGATGATGGAGCGTAGCCACGATTTGAGGTTCGGGAGTGGTGCTTCTAGACAAAGAACCACCGAGTGTAGATGCGTAAGTAAGAGAAGCCGATGACATTGCGTGAGGATGGTTTGGGCTCGAAACGTAAAGCTTACATGTAAACCAGATCTTGGTGAAGACCAAAATATGAAAATAAATAGTGTGCTCGTCGCCCCTTACGTGTTTTAAACCAGGCGAGAGGGATGAGATGGAAATACGAGAGTGAGATAGAAAAAATTAGGGTCAGATTTAGGAACCCTAAATCAGCGGCTCAAATTGATAACTGGGAGGTAAGAACCCTAAATCCTCAGCTCATTAGGTCGAATTAAGAGTGTAAGAACTTGTTGGAACCGAGAAGTAGGTTTTTGGTGGAGGTGATGGATCGAGGAATTGAGGAAGCTGTGGATGAAGACGAAGGCCCAAATTCAAAGAGGCGGGGAATTTTTGGGATGAATATGTGGTGGTTAATTTTTTGGATTTCATTTTCCCCTGTAAAAACGCATGTTTCCTAAAAAAAATATAAAGCAACCCAGTTACACGACGCACATTTTTTGATAGGTGCCCTTCGTATTTTTTTCCGACACTAATTTTAGGGGCACACAAAAATGCGTGTTATCTATCCTTCAAATTTTAGACAACTAACATTAATTGTTAGGGCAAGCACAAATGCGCGTCCTCTATCAGTGTGTGTCATTAATTGCACGTCGTAAAAGTCTATTTTTCTAGTAGTGTCAAGTGGAATCCACTCTGATTTCCATGAGGAATAGGGCTTTTTAGAGCAACCTGCCTTATGTTCTTCCTACTAACACAGATGTAGATGTTGATCTTACCTTGAAACAACCACCTATCACTACTCATCAAAGTGATTTCCAAATCGATCCGGAAGAAGATATCTCCGAAGAAGTACTATTGGATGATGAAGCAAGGGTCATTCCGGAATACACCTTCAAGACTTCTGCTCACTTCAAATCCAAGCCATCCAGTTCTAAGTCTGCATATGACTTTTGATCCTCATCCTCTAACACTCCGGATGGAGGATCAATCTCTAAACATCAAGAAGATGATGCTACCACCAAACTGTTGGGTTATGAGCATTCTAACACTCCTAAGTGTACATGCAACCCTAAATACCTTGGATCTATGTTTTCTCTATTATACATGCAAATATGAACATCCAAGGTATTATCCTAATCTAGCATACAAAACTATCAATATAACAAGATAGAATACATACCTCTTTGATGGTGCTTGTCTTCATGAAGCTTGAGTGCCTAGTGCCCCAAGTGTGACACCTCAAATGGTTCACAATCATCAAAACACTTAGAATAACTTAGAGAGAATTCTACACTTCATGAAAAACGGCTAGCCCTTTCTTACTCTCACTAGTGGCCGATTTTCCTCAAGAATAAGATGCTTATATAGTTATACAATTAGGGTAAACCCTAATTGTCATGACTTTCCATTTCCTTGGATCCATGGGTTCAAATACACCATGGAGCATCCATGGAGCATCATATGGGTTTTGGCCCAACTAGATAATCCATGGAGCATTAGCCCACTATACAAGTATGGATGATTTACACATTCAACCCATATATTTAATTAGTCTTCTTTTGATCACTCAATTAATCCTAGATTAATTCTTGATCAATACTAATTAAATAATCTCATTATTCTTATTATTAATATACTAGAACTTATAATATATTAATAACCATAAGTGTCTTATTTCTCTCATTTAGTCTATCCAAGTGCATGATGGTATGCAACCCAAATGGACCATACCGGGTCGGGTCAAGTCTTACCAATTATAGTTATGGACTTAGACATTAATCCAACAGTCTCCCACTTGGATAAGTCTAAAACTATTATTGCGTATGACTTCAGGAACCAACTGGCAATCGTAGCTCTCAAAAGCTTCTGTCGAACTCTGACCTTGTAGATGAACTCTGATCTTGTCAATGACTTGTCCATTAGATAAGGGATCATATATTCCTCCATTCTAGATATCGTATGGACTGAGACATGGATTATAATCATTCTCTCTGTCCATTTGTTGTTTCCCGATTTCCGATTTATGACGATTGACTAATTAAACAAATCAAATCAGTCCTGGCCCGGCCGAGCACTTCCATTTGTCATCATCAAATCATCGAGGGGCCCACAGATATCGCTTTTATCCCGAAGGTAAAAGGAATGGATAAACTTCGACTCATATGGCTTGTTCTACTACTTGTTGAATCATACACAAAGGCACATTTTATAGCACCGAGTTACCAAATGCAGTTTCGTGCAATCAATGTACAACCAACTCATAGTAACAACTCATATCTCTAGGTTTGAAGAATATAAGATATTATCGTCTCATGATCACTCGTGATAAAATCCATGAAGTGATTCCAATGAGCGCGGGTTAAATCCAATACTCATAACTTGTGAGCACTCATGTGTGTTGTAGCCCTTTGTCCAACACCTTAGACCTCTACAAGCCAACCCATGATAGTCTTAATTCATATCTACTTCCAACATATGACCGACTGTGGATGGTTTGAATAACTTAGTCATTCCGGAAGAATAACCTAGTTTATTTGGGAAGTCAAAACATGCAAAGTGAAACACAATAATAATTGAATCCAATATGGTATCAAAACCTATGAACATAAATAAAACACCTTTTATTTATCACCATATGATTACACATTATTCATTGTATACTGTTTCAACTATCAACTTTATTCTTGAATTTAAAACAATAGTTGTCCCATGCTCCAAGCATGTACACTATGTTTTTCTAAACACTAGTCATGCCATACACCAAGTATGCATACTATGTTTGTCTATGATCTTTACTTTGTGAACTAGATCAATTGAACATAATCTTCAATGATTCTCTTTTCACACTCCCAAATCCTTACTGCAAATGCAAGAATTCCAAATTCATGCCATTTACTGAAATCTGTTAGATTCTAAACTTATATGCATTGATCCTCTTGTAACGATTATGCACAAATTCACAAAGACTTGGCAACAATCATTACAGAGAATTCCAAAGGAGATCAACTCCTTGGAACCATCCTTCTTGCATTAAGTTTCCTTAATCTTACACAGATTGAAAATTCTAACTTTGAAACATTTCCAGATTCCATTTCGACTATCACTTCTGAACAAGAGTTGCCTCCTTACAGATTATGTCAATATGGTCCTTCCAGAATTATCACTATACTTCCAATTGTCCTTGACCAACCAATCTTTGGTAAACCTTAGATTGTCCTCGACCATTGTTTAATCCTTTTAGTCATATCCAGTTCTAAACCTTTTCCCTTCTTAATGCCCCAGGCATTTGGAAAATTTTAGAAAGGATGAATATAGCACATGTAATCGATCCTATATCCGAAGCATATGGGAAACGATTCATGATGTCTCACATAAAGACTAAACCAGTCTTTTGCTATAACATTTCCATTTCTATTTGCCAAGTTCTCATAATTCATATTATGAAAAGGGATGCCGTAATCATAATCAAATTTTAGAACGCAAAAAATGGAACCATATACAGAATTTCCTTATGTTGAGCCATTCTAACATGAAATTCATATATATCCTTGACTAAATGATTAAAACCTCACGATCTAAGCTTATAGATTTGAGATGAAGTATAATTTCCTCTCCCTTAATTATAGCAAAACAACTCTTTCCCAGTTGAAACTTTTGTTTTCTATAATTAACATTGCTAACTTGCAATACTTATCATAATTATCATGCTCCCACTGACATCATGATTATTAGCATAACACTTATGCTCCCACTAGCTTTGACATGTACTCAGAAATCAGCTGGACTTCTAGAAATCAATACTTTATTGACTTTCTTACCAAAGTTCAGATTTCTGATACTGGATTGTTTTGATAGAACTTTATCAAAATCATACACCTTCCCTTAGATAGCACACTTGTGTGTCTAAACAATTATGAAGAGGGATGCTGTAATCATAATGGTTAGACCTTTTTGCCACTTCTCACAAGTCCAGGTTAGTGTGCCGGTCAACCACACACGCTCCACTAACGACTTTGAGAATGCAAACATCACAATTGCTATCTAGCTAAAATCTACTTAGTGAAAGTGTTTCCTCACCATCATTTTCATGAATCGGAGAGAAACCTTATGACACTTAGATTTATATGGTGTATGAGTTCCTACCCATATGAATTTGTCAAAACCATAATCACAAGACAAAGAAAATGACAAATCCAAAACCATATGGATTGAACTCAATCTTAATTTCTTGCCACCTGGTAGCTCAAGGGGCTGCCATTGCTTCCAAGTTGTTGTGCAACCAATTGAGAACTCTAAGAACTCATATGCAAAGCCAACTTTGATTGGAATGGGCACAGAATATGTCAACACGATATGCTATAAACCTTAAGTCGTGTGCTAGTGAAGAACTTCAGGTTTTATTCTTGATTAGTTCTTGAGACTTTCAAGACCTTTAAGACTCCCACTGTCCTCTTGACATATAATACTCCCTTGTCAAACATCCAAGAGATAGTGCGGATTCTAATCAAGACAAACACTTCACACAATTGGACTTAATTGGTCTTTGTTTTATCCAAAACATCACAACTTACCAATTTCAAATGTACAAGAGTAGAAAACTTTTACTCTTACATTTGATAAGTGTTTTTAAACCTTCTTAAAGACATGTCACTCAAATTATAATCTTGGAGTATGACTCTAAGACTTGTATTGGAACGAAGTATGACTCATCTTCTTGATTTAACCATTTCAACAATTCAAGATCCCTTCTTCTTAGTCATAAGAATGCACTAAGACTTCCTTAGAGAACTAATTTTGATATGGTTTCTTAATCATTAAGATGATCACAAAACTGATACTAAAGTACTCTCCCATCTTTTCAGATTTGAGGAACTTTTATCCTTCTGCCTAATTTGATTCTTCTTATTCGCTCTGCCATGCATTGGAACCTTTTCCAATGTCTCAGAGTTACACTTAAGCTTGTAAGTATAATCATATTTACTGAGCTTTAGTAAAATATGACGAATAGCCTTATATATTTTGTG